TGCAGTACAAAGAAAAATCATTGTAATGCAAAGAAAACTTTTGTGTAATACAAGGAAATTTCTTGTAATACAAGGAAATTTTCTATTACGGTTGCACAGATTTTTTTGCATTATACGAACAAATTCTTCGTAAAAGATTTAGAGTGCTTGTAGTGAGACCCTTGTCCTGCAGGTGTCATTGCTCAAGCCAGTGCACCAGGTCAGGCCCAATCAATGTACGATGTACTGATGATGGACACCTCCTGTGCCCCATGCCCCCATGGCAGACTATACCCTGTTTAAATGTATGTATGTTGTTAATATACAACACAAGTGCTGTATACTTTCATAGCAACAAGTTTTTAAACAACACATTGTGTAATTCAATAAGTTACTTCTTCTTAGTTTTAAAAAAGATGTGCACCAAGAATTTGTTATGTATTTCTCTTTTAGGAAAAAAACGTTACATTGCAAGTTTCTTTACGTTTCAACTCACAGTTTACAACACAGGATTTGTAATCTCAAAACATGGATCGTGGAACTATTTCCAATGTTGCAAGTTTCTTTGTTTCAACTCACAGTTTACAACACAGGGACCGTGGAACTATTTCCAATGTTACTCTAAAAACTCAACAGTATACATTGTATGCTGATATACCACCAATCATTGATGATGACTAAAATCAGTGAACATTGCATGATGATCACCAAAAGGGAAATAATTCAGATGCTTTCAGTGTATTTATTATTGCACCTTTGCGGGCTTAAAAAGAATCCAAACGAGAGTGAACAAAAAAATTTGCGCATCAAGAACGTGTTACCACGTCACGCATTTAAAACACTCTAAATCCTGCCGTTTCGTTTGAAAAATGAAAACTTGTGGAATGACTTGAGCTGCTTCTTGCTAATGAGTGTCGGTGAGCCAATAACTTGTGAAATAGAATGCCTTTATGGGCGAGCGGCGTGCTTCCTTGGGGAAGCGCCTCGTGCGTGCAGCAGAGGGAGAGAGAGAGAACGCGAGCCGAACAGAGCATTTCTACTTTCAAGGTATGCGTTTCGATCCGGGTCACTTCCGGAAGCCCGGGTGTAATCCAAATGTTGCACACGGGGCACTGTCTGGCGAGATTTTCGTTTTGTTGTTTTGCTTCGAATTGGTCAATAAGTTCATTTTTTCTCTCTCCTTATTTGGCTGCAGACGTTTTGCGGTGTACCGGGAGGGATATTGCCCTGTACGGAAGACATCATCTTATTTCGTGTGTCGCACGTCCTTGCGGAGGACGATGGACTGTTGTGTCGTCGCAGTTCACCCTACACGTAAGCCTGGGATAAGATAATGAAAGTCTCTGCTGGGGGAAGAAGTCTGCTGACTCAGATGTCCTTCCTTGTATCGATCGCAAACAACAAGAAGGACCACTGCGTCGTTGTTTTCTTTTTTATTATGAGTCGGTGCCGTTATAATAATTCCACCTTCACTCAAAGTGTGAGAGTTTAACTCTTTTGATATATTATTTCCTACACTTAACCATCCGCCAGGGAAGATAATAGTCTAGATATGGTCACAATGGCAGTCGTAATAATAGGAACAATTGTGTCCACAAGTAAGCAACATTTTGTGGATAACGTTGTACTATAGTACATGGTTTTGCGAAACTGTGTACCAAAAACTTGCCATAACTCTGTTTTGCGATTCTTGTGTCAAAGATCATGATGACTTTATTACACCATTTTTACAGTGAAAAGTATAAAGATAAAATCATAAAAAAAAGGGTCCAACTTCTTTTTATTGCAAGTTTTTGTAATAAAAAATAGTGATTGCATTATTTGAGCAGTGATTTCTCCCTACACATTTTATTGGAAAAATATGTAGTGAAAAGTTATCATGCATTTTAGCATGAGAATAGCAAAACACTGGTTATCGCTAAAATTCAGTAAAAGTATCGCAAAACGGATTTCAGTGTGGAAAACACTACTGACCCAGGTTTTGCGATAACTTTAACACGAAAGTATGCCATAACTGGTGTTTTGCGGTTCTCATGACGATTTTCCGCATCACCATTTATCGCAAGAAAAATGTTGTTGAAAGAAGGTAAAAAAACAACATCTTAAGTAGTCTTTGTAATGCGATAACTTTTCTCATTTTACTTTCATCACTATCTTTTTTGCGATAGTACTCTAAAAATCGAATAGTGTTCTTCTCCTTGTGATTTTCTCAGATTCCCTTCGGTAAATTACGGGATCTGAGCGCCTGCGAGATTCAACGTAGGCCACCCTGCATTACGCGCATGCACTGCAGGCCAGATATTGCCTACCCCCTAGGCGCTACGAGAGCTTTCAGAGTCGACAGGTTCGTCACTACGAACGACAGACGTACTTTGTGGATGATCCCTTAGCACAATGCCTGTGAGCACACCGTTTAAACAGTGTGGTACTTGGACAAGTTCTGATTTAACAGAGTGCGCTTGGGTGGGCACGCTGCTGATAGAACTGCTTGCTAAGCACACTGCTAGACACGTAGCGGTGGCTGTGAGACGAGCGAATACAGCTCTAAGCCCGGATCAGAGTGCTCACCGCCGTTGTGCGCCACAGCCCCGGTCGGGTAGGCAACCCAACCGCCATCCTTGTGAAGCCTCTTGCGAATGTCTCCGGCGCAGCAAACAGTGACCACTACAACCCTATTATAACACGTTAAGCCTAGTGCAGTATAACGCACTAGAGCACATCTTTTACCCGCCTGTTTTGTTTTGTGTAGACTTGACCCCCACCAGAAGATTCTTGCCTGTTTCTCTGCGCCCCTCTCCCCCCCCTCCCCCCATTCCTCGCTCACTTCGTCCTTTCTGCTTGGTGCTATGGCCTGGGCGAACCGCATGGCATGCTCTAAACTCGGCGGGGAAAACCCGGTCTAAATGGGGCTCAGGCCAATACTGCCGCACCCCGCTGCACCCCGCTGCCCGTCCCGCCGAGCCCCGCCACATCTCGTGGCTACTCTGTCCATATCCCTGGGTGCCAGTGGCTGCTGTCAGGTGCCATGGTCCTCTTTGAGGGCAAGCGGGGGTGCAGCAGAAGACCACCCCGACGAGGCTGCGGCGGCGGGGAAGTAGTAGTGTAGTCGTAGTAAGGGTTTCCTTCCTTACTAGAGGCGGTGGATGGATGGCCGTTGAACGGATATGCCGCACTGAACTTGCTCGCGCTCCTGGTGAAAGAGTTATTGGGTGGACCGGAAGACAGACAAAGCTTCACTCATTCGCTCTTAGCAGAGCGTCTGTCTGTCTGTTGGTCCGCCTGTCTGTTCGTCTATCTGTTTGCCAAGACGTCGTGCCAAAGGCGTCTGACGCAGATTTCCACGAGCGCGCAGCCGAAGCATCCCTTGCTCCACTTGGCTGTCTGTCAGTGTCGCCCGCGCGGGTTCAACGCGCGGCCGTTGCGCCCGGGCCGCTGTGCGCAAGGGCGTGATGCTGTTGGAGACTGTTTGGCGACGCGCGCTGTCACGTCTTCAGCCTGGCATGAGACCGGAAACGACTACACCGGCACTAATATGGACTGTCGTGTCACCACCAATGCCAACGACGACTTCACCGCGGCACTAGATTTTCTTATTTCTTAAGTGAAAGGTCTTTCTCTTTTAAGACAGAAAAAATCTGACGCGACGCAGAAACTTTGTGCATCGCTCTCTGGTCCATCTGCTTTAGCCAGATATATAGCGGGTTGGAATGCACTTGGCACTGCACGCGCGTTGCCACGCAGGGGTAAAAGGG